GGAAATGGGAACAGTGGCAGTAACAGGGTTTTGTTTTATTTTGTTTCTAACCGAGATCAAACTGGAGACCTTGTGCATTGCCAAACACATGCTTGGTTACTGAGCTACGCTTGCAGGCCCAGAAAAGGTTTTTTTAAAAGGCAAGTTAGAATCCTATTAAATCCCCTCTATCTATAGTTAATGCTTGTGTTTACGAAACATAAGAGAGCCAGATTAGTCCTTTTCTATGGACTCAGGCTAAAAGTAGAAAGTGAGATGAGGACAATGCTTTAAAACATTTTTAATGTGCTGCTGCGTCGTCTCCGTGGGTAACGGCATCTTCTGCACGAATCTGACACAGCCTGAGTTCAAGCCCCGGAACCCGCAAGGGAAGCGAAGCGACTCTGGACCTCTTCTGCCCTCGCCTTGTGTGCCATGGCGCATGTGAGCTGCGCTGCCTCCTCCGAGGCCATTTTTAGTTGAAATGAGAGAAACTATGAACACGGTCGTCAGACGCGTCTATGAAGTGCAGCAGGGTGATGGTGCGACCCTCAGATGCGGTCCCCACCTTGCGGGACCTCCAGCTCCTCAATGACAGAACTGTCCTTGACGCAGCTTTGGTTCCGGTAGCTGGGTCCGAGATGGTCAGCTGTGTTGTGAGTATATTTAGCTTATGCTAAATGCCCCAGGGACGATGAATATCATCTGTTTTCAGTTTAATTGTGTTTGGGCCATCGGACATTTTTTCCAGATGAATAAATATTAAACGCTTCCCACCTCCTGAGGAAAACGAGGGTTGAATTTGAAGCACGGATTATCAAACATACTTTAAATCTCGTGAAAAATAAAACATAAAGAGTGGCAGGCTGTTTACAAGCGCTTTAACAATGTCTTGCTCTATGGAAATGCCAGATTTGGGGTGAAAAAAAATGGTACATAAAATCTGGTGGACCAGAAATGATTCCCGCTCCTGTCAGCATGAACGGGTAGTGTGGCTGACCAGGGGTTAGAAATAGTGCCATCTACACATTATCTTCTCATAAGGTTTAAAACTTTCCGAGGTTGTGTTTGATCCAGATGTTTGCAGCCTCTATAGCTCCAGGATCGCATAAACCTGGAAATTTGCATATTCAAATAGAAGGCATCTTAGGCATTACCACTGTCATAAAAGAGTTTACTCCAGGCTGATGAAAAAGTAAATTTAACCAGAAACATCTATTTGTTTCCTCATAAGCCATCAACTTCCCAATAGAACTCTTGAAGGAAAAGTCAAAGCCAACTCTAAATAGATTTAGGATGGCATATTCCTGTCTGTGTGTCTACCACTGGTGGTCGTTCTGTCTGCTTTCAAGATCAATCCCTGCTGACAAACGTTCAAGACCTTAGACTTCCTGTATTTTTTCTTCTTCATGCTTTTGCCTTCCCAGAGTCATAATATAAATTAGGAAGGCACATAGCAGGATGCTTTGAAAGTGAATTGCCTCTCCTGGCCCCAGGCATTGTGTATTTAAGAACTTGGTACCCACTGCTGGCACCATTTTGGGAGGTCATGGGATCTTTGGGACTATGGTCCAGGCAGCATAAGTGGGTTGCTGTGGCTGGGCCTGGAAGGTGGTAGCTCTTCTGGGACTGGACTGCTTTCTGATCAGTCAAGATGTGTGTATCTGCATCTCACTCTGCCATCACCATAGACAGAACCTCCCCTGGCCACCCCAGCCTCCCCAGCCTCCCACCTTCCCTGCCAGCAGTCTGTATTCTCTGAAGCTAGGAGCAAAAATGAACCCTTCCTTCACTAAGTTACTCCTGTTGGGTATTTATTTGGTCATGAGGATGAGCCAAGTAGCTACCACAAATGTAGCCCTTTCTCCTCATGCTGCTGTAAAGATTAAAAATGTATTTCTCACAGTTTTGTAGGCTGGGAAATCTCAGATCAAGGAACTGGAAGCTGATGTCTGGTTCGGCTATTGTCTGCCCTTGAGTGCTGTGGTCTCACTTGGAAGAAGGGACAGTGTGGGGGATGGGTGCATTGTGAGGCTTCTGGTATTGGAGCCTTTGTCCTGTTTAGGAGGGAGAGGCCCTCGTGACTGGCATGGCATCTGCAATCATCTCTGGAAGGCCCCATCTCTCTATCTTACCCCAAATCTACTCACAGACCTCTCTACATGAAACACATTCTATCTCACCCATAGTCTGCTCACAGGAATTAGTTCTCTCTTACCGTGTGGGGCCAGGGGTTGACTTCAGGTTGTCAGGCTTGGTGGCAGACACCTGTGCCCACTGTACCACCCTCCTGACCTCTTCCTGTCTGCATTTTAATGAAAACAAATGTTTGTAAAGAGTGCAATCTGGGGCTGGAGAGATGGCTCAGAGGTTAAGAGCACCAACTGCTCTTCCAGAGGTCCTGAGTTCAATTCCCAGCAACCACATGGTGGCTCACAACCGTCCGTTATGAGATCTGGTGCCCTGTACTGGTGTGCAGATATACATGGAAGCAGAATGTTGTATACATAATAAATAAATAAAATCTTTAATAAAAAAGATATTAAAAAAGAGTGCAATCTATGCCTTTTCTACTATTTAGACTTGTCTTCTTACAAGTTTACAGTCCTCCCACCCCACCTTGCCCATTCTCCCATTAATGCTGGAGAAAAGAATGGGTGAGATAGAATGTGTTTCAATGTACAGTGGTCTGTGAATAGATTATGGGTAAGACTGAATGTTTCAATGTACAGAGATCTCTGTAAGAAAGAGTGTTTCAATGTACAGAGGTTGGTATGATAGAATGCCTTTCAATATACAGTGGTCTCTGAGTAGACTATGGTAACACAGAGTGTGTTTCAATGTACAGAGGTCTGTAAGATAGAATGTTTCAGTATGCAGAGCTCTGTAAGACAGAGTGTTTCAGTGTACAGAGGTCTATAAGACAGAGTGTTTCAGTGTACAGAGCTCTGTAAGGTAGAGTGTGTCTCAGTGCACATTCATCTGTGAGTAGATCTGAACCTTATGCAAAGACTTAGAGAAGAGAGAATTCTCCCGGCCTACGCTGTTGGCTTTCCAGGCTTGATCCTCACCGAGCTATGAGGTCTGATGCTGGGGAAGGCAATGGGACTCCACAGCAGGCCAGCTCGCTCACTCTTCTTGATTTGCCCCCTCCCCATAAATTCCTAAAGCCTGAAAGGGAGCTAACTACACATACTTCAAAATGCATAAAACGTTATGGATTTACTTCATCCATTCCCACATCCTAGCAGCGAAAACATTTTAGAATGTCACTCTTAAAGTTACATGTTTGGGTGTCACCAAAGTAACTTTGAGTTAAAAGACAGCCTATAAAAAGCAACTAGTTATATTTTCTTCTGTTCTAAATTGTGCTTGGGAGGATTTCCTTCTTTAAGCCAAAGCTTCCCAACGGTCTCTATCTATTAAATGCATAGACTGCCAGTCAGAAAGCCGCAAGGATCTGTTTTTACCTCAGCATTATTAGATAACTGAAACTAAACATAAGGCAATGTCTGTCACTTCTGGAGCACGCAGAGGTACAATGGTTTGCCTGCTGAGATATAGCGCCTCTATTCTGTAGGCAAAAGGGGAACCGGGCTCAGTCTTTTGCTAAAGCGCCCAGTTCTGTTTCAACTGTATTCAGTTCTCTGTCACAACTCACAAGAGTCCTTGGTGCAGTGACTGTGATGTATGTGGCAACAAGTGGTACCTCACCAAATCCTCAAACACCCAGAAATTAGTAGTTACGGTTTTTCAGCATGTCATGTTGAGTTATTACAGTTGACATTTTAATTCTTAAAAAATCAGGTAGGACAAACAGTCCTTGGGCTTTTATCCCCAATAAAAGTAGCATTGACGCTTATTAATTCAATAATGTCGGTTGGGATTTTTAAAGCATGTCTTCCCAGAGGGCTTTGGCCCTTTTGATAGCTTTGGAATTCTATTATAGAGATCGATTAGGTTGTCTAGACTGATGGCCCCAGAGGTATTAAGATGCTCTTTCTTCGAAGAGAGGGCTGAAACACTAGACATGTGTCCATTAGTGACGGGACCCACAGACCTGTCTTCTGCCTGGAAGCTTTCCCGTCAGACTTGCTGAGTTAGACTTCTCCCAGGCTGTTAACTTGGATTCTGAAATCCCATTGCCCTAAAAATCTAACCGACTTTCTACACTTAGTTATCTGCATCCGCCATGGCTTCCCGGGATGAAACCCAGCTTAGCAGGGTTAGTTATCAGGAGCTCTTGCCCATGGAACCATCTACCATTGTTGTTTTGAAATTGGCCTTGAGCTCTTATCATTTTAAATTTATTTCTCTCTGTCCCTCTGTCTCTCGCTCGTGTGTGTGTGTGTGTGTGTGTGTGTGTGTGTGTGTGTGTGTGTGTGCCTGTAGGTATGCATGGTATACAGGAGTATGTACAACTCGGGGCCAGAGGACAGACTTGGGTGTCACCCCTCAGGAGCCATTTACCTAGTTTTTAAGCCAGAGTCTTCCATTTGGCCTGTAAGTAGCCCCAGCAAGGCTAGTTAGTAGTGGGGTAGGCTAGTCACAGCAAAAACTCCAGGGATCTGCCTGGCTCTGCCTCCGCAGCACTGGTTTATAAGTGTGGGCCATCATGCCTGGCATTTTTATGTGGACTCTGGGGATGAAACACGGGTCCTCATGCTGTGTGACAAGCTACTTTACAGTCGTGATCTACATATGTGGAAGGCAGCTCCTTTGGCACTAGAAGCTGACCCTGAGGACCCAGCCACCTTCTCAGGAGTTTCTCGTCAATGCTGGCATCCGTTCTCTTCGATGCTTTATCCTCTTCCAAGAGGCCTGGACATGTTAACAAGAAGTCAACCCCAGACTCCCCCAGTATTGACCTCTGTCTTTCATTCTAGACGAGCCCATTTTGTTGATCTGCAATCTTTTCCCAAAAGGGCACAAGTGAGTCCCAAACTGCTCCCCTCGCGCAAGGTGAGGAGTCCTCCTTCCAGGTTTTCACTGACTTCTGCTATGTTGCATGTTTCTTGCAGATCATCTCAACTCTGGTCCTGTGGAGCCACCTGAAAGCCACAGCCACAAAGTAAGTGCGAGTTTAGAACTCTCTTCTCAGCTCCACATTCAGGGGCTTTCACGAGAATCATTTTGTTCAAATATTTTTTATCACTGAACAGCAGGAATGGGGATTTCATGTGTAGGAGAGACACTAAGCCATCTCTTTAAAATTGATAGAAATAATAAATGGACAGAGATAAATTAAAAAGAGCTCACGTGATCGCCAGGGACACACTGTAGCAACCTCCCCTGTGGTGTCGAGCTGGGCCATAGGCCAAAAGGTATTTCAGATGGTGCCAGGCATAAATTACAGCAGAGCCTGGCTCTTAGTGGGCACATATACGTCTTGGGAATGTGTGGATGGGTTAAGTGATCTAACAATTTGAGATTGCAGCTCTGTGAGCCTCCCAACCCCTGCCACGAGGCGATGTGGAGCAGTTGGAAGTGTGCCAAATCTGGATCTGGATGCTTGAGTTCCATCCCTGGTCCTGCCACTTAAGGGCCACACATATGTCATTTCTTCTCTGTGACTTGGTGTTCTCACCCTTACAATGGGTCTAATAGTACCACCTCGTTGGCTGATACAGTGCCACTTAAAATGCTTGCTAAAATTTTATTTTATTTTACTTTATTGTTCTCTGTCTTTGGTTTTTAAAGACAGAGTCCCCACTCCACAGCACAGGCTGGCTCCAGACTCACTTTGTAGCCCAGGCTGGCCATGTACTTACAGCATTTCTTTTGTCTTTACCTACTGAGTGCTGGGATTATGGGTGTGAGCTACCGAGTCCAGAAACAAATGAACATAATAACATCTGTATGTTCTGTGTGGAGACTGAAACATTGAACCCCCTGTAACAATGAGCTTGCTGCTGCCCAGACCCTGCCTTCCAGTTCTGTTCTGCATTAAAAGCAGGGTTCCTTGGGGGAAAGGGTTAAGACTAGGGCAGGAAATGCTCAAGATGAGCTTCCAGGGTCCCAACAGTGCCAGAAACCAAAGAAACAACAAAGGAAACGAAGCACCCCACCTCCCCCTCACACAAATGTGGGACCCAGTTACAAGAGCTCCCAATGTCTGGGACAGCTTCAGCAACATAATAAACAAAACAGCATTGAGTTGTAACCTAAAGTGGTTTAGAGATACACCTTCTAATTAAAAAATATTTTTATTTACCTGTATACATGTGCATGGTATGTGCACATGAGCACTCACAGAGGCTAGAAGGTGTCAGATCCCTCAGAACTGGAGTCACAGGCAGTTGTGAGTCACCTGACATCGGTGCTGGGAGCACTCTGGGCCCCTGCAAGAGGACTCCCTCGTCCACAGCCCAGACCTGCAAATTTTTAAGTACAAAAAGAAACCACTTCAGTGTGTAATTCATTTGTGTTTTGAGATTCCTCCCTAGAGAGGTGTACTCATCCATGAACTTTTAAATTGCACGGGCAATACATGTATGGAGCAATCACCTGTACTTTTATCATCGAGGATGTATCATCTTGGGTATGGTGTTGCATGTCTGTAATCCCAGTTCTCATGAGGCTGGGGCCTCAGGACCTAGAGTTCAGGATCTGGCTACATGAAGAGTCCCCATTTGAAAAACACACACATACACACACACACACACACACACACACACACACACACAAAAACAGGCACAAAATAATTGTCAAAGCTGAACATAGTTATCTGAATGTAATGCAAATTAGAACTCTGACAGTTCCTTCTGCATCGCTGTGGCCAAATACCTGACAGAAGACCTGAAGGGGGCAGCTGCTTATCCTCGCTCATGGTTTCAGAGAGGTCGCAGTGTGTCATAGCAGGGAAACCACATCAAAACGGCTCCATCTGCAGAGGAATTCGAGGCCACAGTACTTACTTGTAGACCACGAGTCAGGGAAAGCTAGTGGGAACCAGGGGTGGCTATAACCTCCAAGGGCTTGTCCCTGTTGACCTAACTGCCAACGAGGCTTCACCTCCTAAGAGCCCCACAGCCTTCAAGCAGTGCCACAGGTGAGGACCTAGTGTTCAAAACACAAGCCCACAGGACATTTCAGATCCAAACCATAACAGAAACCATGTGTTTTTGTTGTCTGTTGCTACATAACAAATCACCACAAATACAGGCCTTAAATCTGTTTGCATTCAGCCCTAGCTTTGCTTACCATCTTACAAAGCAAGCTATTGGCTCCTCTGGTCCTTTATCAGGGCTCAAGGTTTGTCTCTTAGCTCATGAAGTTGTGGGTTTTGGTCGAGCTTGGAGTACTGAGTCTTTCACTTTCTTAGGGGCTGTCATCTGGATCCATTCTTATTCAGGAACTACCCATCATTACTCTATGCCCTGTGATATTCGGTGGTTCTGTCGCCATGTGACAGCGTACTGTCTCAAAGCCAGCAGAGGACACTCTCTGCTAAGTTGGAGTCATACATAGCAATTAGGGAACTATCCACCCAGTTGACAGTGCCATAGCTGGCTGAATGTAAACAACAGCCTAAGTGTGCTCTTCACGGGCAAGGATCACACTGGGGATCGCTCAAGGATGTGTCCATTGTCACGTGAGAATTGAGTGTAAAGGCCATGAGTTGTGGATGTTGGGATTTCATGGCTGATGGGATCTGCCATGAAGAGCAGGGTGACAAAAGGCAGGATGAATGGAAAGTGCTCATTGCTCATCTCTGCTGGAGGTAAACAATGGGTTTGCCTCTAACAACAATGGGTTTGCGACTAACAACACCCCTCGAAGTTATCAGATGAGAGCTGGGATTATATGAAAATCAATGAGTCAGAAAAAAATATTTAGAGGTAGTTCTTAAATGTATCACTATTTCTCCGACTAGTCTTTTTTTTTTAAGCACGTAAATTTGCACATAAATGTGCTCTTGACTCCATGGCAACCATGTTTATGAATTTTAAGAACTCACTTCATCAAAGTTCAGATAATATAATAGCATTGCCAGTTTTTCATTTTGAGTTTGGGTTTTGTTTTTGTTTTTGTTTTTTTATCTTTCATTTCAAACTTCTGTCCACTAATAACTAACTGAAAGAATGATACCATTATAGTTTTATGTCTCATGCTTTGCATATGTTTGTGTATTTTAAATATATTAGGTACCCAGTTTTGTAGACTCCTTATCGTAAATGCTGAGTCCTTCTCTCAAAAAAGGTCACATCCAGAAATGCTGGTGTTACCATGTTGTTCCACTAATTGCAGTAACCGCCACCTATGCCTTTGGCATCTTGGTTTTCTCGCTTTGGTCTGCTGGCTCAGTAGAAAACCAAATCACCAAGAAAACCGACCACATATTTAGGCATCAGAAGTCACCTGCCAGCGATGCTTGGTTGGAAATAAACTCAGGACTGTGGGTGGGCTTGGGTTGCGTGACGACTATCGAGAGTCTCAATGAGGTCACTAAGAGGTATGAGGGGACACAAACCGGAGATCTTTGTCACTTAGGTCTCAGATCTGCAGCTGCCTTGGGGGGAGTTGGGTGAGGCTAAGGGGAAATGCATATTTGAAGTCATCCGGTTACCACACTTGCAGGAGACGGATTCTCATGGTTCCTCCGCCTCCCTTCCCTCCTTTCCAAGTCTCCTCCCCACTTCCCCGGCACTCACAGTCAGCCACAGGCAGTAGAGTTGGCTGTTGGAGCAACAGTGCCTAACAGACTATGGCTATTGGTGAGATAACTCATTTATCACCGAAAGGTCAAAGCTTCCTTCTTCCCTGCTTTGAGGTTGTTTTCTTTGTGGGAACTAAACAAAGGTATCTTTGTAAAACATATAGACAGTAAGTGGAGGTGAATACAAGTAACCTTTCCTGCCTGGAGCAAGCGCAAGCAGAAGCCCATGGGTGCGTTTATCCCTAGGTGAGTCTTCCTCAGGCTGCCTCTGGTGGAACATTCTAGAATGTCTCTCAGCTCCTGACCTATGGTGTCTCTCAAACCCTTCCACGTGTTTCTTTACCGGGTAGGGCTTAGGCTTGCCTAACCATGTCCTAAGGTTTACTTGGCACATGTCTTAACATGTAAATCTGACAACTCACCTGCTCCTGAAATCCTAGATGTGTTTAGTGGATGGTTTTGTGTGGCTTTGCTCTAAAGTGGGTTATTGTATTAGTAAAACTTCTACAATACATCTGCCATCAGGTTTTTGTTTCTGGGGCACACTAATGGCATTTTGCTTGTTGGTGGTTAAGTCCAAGCCGGATTTCCTCGTTTGGGAGTGCCCAAGTAGCAGTTGGATCAGGCAGTGCAGGCTTGCATTGGGAAGCAAGACCGACATTCACCAACTCATTGATTATTTCTCTTTATCTCACTCTGCCCCTGAAACTGAGGTTTCCAGTAGAGCTGACGTCATCTCCTCCAAATACAACCCCTGCTCCGTTCCCAAACTTCAAGTTACAAAGAGATTCTGAACTCCGCCGCATCTGTCTCGTGCGTCACTCGCTGTTGGGACGGTTTCTCTCCAAGGACTACATGATTTTCCAAAGCAAGAACTTTGAAGTTTGCTTGTCTTTAATAACGCAATGCTATGCCCAGTGTCCACAGTACTGATGTCACCAGTCCCTGTCCCTTCTCCTCCTCTTTTTCTTCTTCCTCTTCTTCTCCTTCTCCTCCTCCTCCTCCTCCTCCTCCTCCCCCTCCTCCTCCTCCT